GCAACCGGTCTTGCCCTCCTCCTCCAGGGACTCTGTAAGCTCGGCTCGGCTGGAGGGACCGACTTCAGCATGAAGCAGTTTGCCGAAGGCTCCACCCTCAAGCTGGCCAAGCAGTGTCGGAAGTGAGTAGGCCCGCTGTGGCTCCCCCACAGCTCAGCTAGGCCCCAGAGATGGAGGCTGGATTGGGGGTGGGGCCGCCTCACTGCCCCCGGCAGACCCTCCGGGGTCCTGGTGCATGGCCTGCATCTGTATCCGTGTGGTGCCTTGGCCCTGGCTTTCCCCCATTGTCCTGTGTGCCTCCTCCCCCCGCCCCAGTTCTGAAGGCCGTGCACTGTCCTGCCTGCCCCCAGGTGGCTGTGCAATGACCAGATCGATGCGGGCACGCGGCGCTGGGCTGTGGAGGGCCTGGCCTACCTCACCTTCGACGCTGACGTGAAAGAGGAGTGCGTGGAGGACGAGGCCGCCCTGAAGGCCCTGTTCCAGCTCAGCCAGGTGACTCCATGGGGCCCTGCTGTCTCCCTGGGGACTCCGTCCAGGAGCAGAGCTGGCAGGCCTTGGCCAAGGGCTCCTGTGCGGCTGCTCTGTGGAAAGATGGAGTCAGGAGGTCAAGTGTGTGGGCTCCCAGTGCCTGGGGCCGGGGGCGGTTCCTGGAGCCCTCCTGGTGTCCCGCCTAGGGTAGAGTGGACCTCTGCACCGCCCTAGCCGACTGAACGCCCCTCTGCCCCACCAGTCTGAGGAGAGGGCCGTGCTGTTTGCCGTAGCCTCAGCCCTGGTCAACTGCACCAACAGCTACGACTACGAGGAGCCCGACCCCAAGATGGTGGAGCTGGCCAAGTATGCCAAGCAACACGTGCCCGAGCAGCACCCGAAGGTGAGCCGGCTGCCAGAGGGCTGGGGCTTCCCCACCATCAGGACTGCTCCCCCCGGGCTCCCGCAGCCAGAGAGCGCCTTGTTTGCGCGCTGCTTCCCTCTCCCTGTCCAGCGAGCCCGGGCCCCTCTCTAAGCTGCCCCCTTCCCCAGGACAAGCCGAGTTTTGTGCGGGCCCGCGTGAAGAAGCTGCTGGCGGCGGGCGTGGTGTCGGCCATGACGTGCATGGTGAAGACCGACAGCCCGGTGCTGACCGGTTCCTGCAGAGAGCTGCTGTCCAGGTGAGGCCGCGCTGGGGGAGCCCGACCTCCTGCTCCCGAGCCTCGGGCTGCCTGGTGACTGCCCAGGGAGCAGGTCCTAGGCTGCCTGCCTTGGCTGAGCCTGGGGGTGACCCTCTCCGCCCACCCCCTGCAGGGTCTTCCTGGCTCTGGTGGAAGACGTGGAGGACCGAGGCACTGTGGTCGCTCAGGGAGGGGGCAAGGTAAGCCGGCCTGGGGGAGCGACCTCCTGTGGACTGAGCCTTGCCGAGGGGCTGGGCAGGCTCCTCGGCATCCCTCCCTCTGCTGAGCTCCTGAGCTCACCTCCTTCCCCCTTGCCTCGCTTCCTCTGTGGCCCCAGCACCCAGCGCCATCCGCGTCTGCCTGCATAGGTGTTTGAGCAGGTGCAGCGGTAGCTTCGTGGGAGACTGCAGACAGGGACGAAGAGGCTGAGCGGAGAGAGAGGAGCAGCGGGGCTGCCTCTGGCCTGCTTATGGGCACCCATGGTCTCGTCCCCACAGGCGCTGCTCCCGCTGGCCCTGGAAGGCACTGACGTGGGGCAGACAAAGGCGGCCCAGGCTCTCGCCAAGCTCACCATCACCTCCAACCCGGAGATGACCTTTCCTGGAGAGAGGGTAGGTGTCTAACCCTACCCTGGTGTCTACCCTGGCCCTGGCCACTCCTTTGCCCCCTCACTGGACCCTGATGGCCTGTGGCCTGACCTGTGGCTCCTCCCGGGGACCAACAGGAAGTGGCAGCTTTGCTGTGCCCTGCAGTGGGGAGCGAAGCCTCAGAGGGCGGCACTCTTACGGTGGACTCCCCCGGATGGGATGGGGGGTTCTGCGGCCAGTGGGCCTGACAGACGGGGTTGTGTTATCACAGATCTACGAGGTGGTCCGGCCCCTTGTCTCCCTGTTGCACCTCAACTGCTCAGGTCTGCAGAACTTCGAGGCGCTCATGGCCCTGACAAACCTGGCGGGGATCAGCGAGAGGCTCCGGTGAGGCCCCGTGGGATGTGGGGCCTGGGCTGGGCTTCAGGATTCGGATGAAACCCCGCAGAGCACTTTACAGTTTGGAAAACACGTGTTGGCTGCTTGAGCCTCCTCTTCTGCAGGAGACAGGGCAGGGGAAGCAACAGGGCCTCGGGCGGTAGCGTCGTGGGGTCTGGAGTCCGACTCCACGGGTTCACATCCTGGCTTCGCCAGTTCCTGGCCTGTAGCCTCCAGCGAGTTAGCTCAGTGTCCGCCCGAATGGATGACTTGGTATCGAGCTCGCAGTAGTGGTGAGGAGAGCTCAGGGAACACACATGTCAGCGTATCTAGTACGGAGGTGCCAGGCCTGCAGCTGTGAGCCCGACCAATACGAACATCATAGCTGTTGTTGCCGATTGGCACCTGGGGCACATTTCTCACTACTCGGCCTGTTTTCTCTTTTGTGAAATACAAGGGCACTTCAAAAAGTTCACGGAAAATGGAATTGAAAGTTTGTTTTGTTGCAGAAGAATTTGAAATTCATGCATGAGAGATCTTCCAAAAGTTCATGGTAGTTATTATGCTTTTACTTATTTATTTAAGAAGTATCCCTTGTGTAATAAGAGGATCTATTCATTTATTTGGAAGTGTCTGTTACAGAGACAGCTTCTCTCCAGAGGCTGGTTCACTCCCCAAATGGCTGTAATAGCTGGGGCTGCGCCAGCTGAAGCCAGGAGCCAGGAGCTCCCTTCCAGCTCTGCCCCGTGGATGGTGGGGACCCAAGCACTTGGGTCATTTTCTGCTGCCCTCCCAAGCCATCAGCAGGGAGCTGGATTGGAAGTGGAGCAGCTGGGACCTGAACCGGTGCTTATGTGGGACGCTGGGGTCACAGGCAGTGACTTAACCTGCTGTACCACAGTGCCGGCCCTGCAAGCTAGTTTTTATGGAGAAACTAGGCATTGGTTGCACAATTATTTTTGCACCACAATAAACTTATCTTTTAATTCCATTTCCCATGAACTTTTTGAAGTGCCTCTGTAGTCACGATCCACTGGCACCTCACCGTGGTGCTGGTCAGGATAAGGGCTCGGATGTTGCTATTAGCCTCACTGTCACCACCGCCCTGGTCCCCCACCTCCTAGTTCTGAGCGTTTTCCTGAGCCTGGTTGGAAGGCTGAAAACCACTGCACTTCCTACCTGGTGCTGAAGGCGGGGTCCTGGGACGTCAGCAAGGGAAGCCATCCCCAGGGCTCAGTCGCACGGGGATGTGGCGAGGGGTCGGGGTGGACGCGGGAGCTCTGATGGTGCCGGCCCCTCCGCCCCCGCCCCACAGGCAGAAGATCCTGAAGGAGAAGGCCGTGCCCATGATCGAGGGCTACATGTTTGAGGAGCACGAGATGATCCGCCGGGCAGCCACGGAGTGCATGTGTAACCTGGCCATGAGCAAGGAGGTGTGGTGGGGCCCGGGGGCCACCACAGGCCGGCGGGGCGGGGGTCTGGCTCTGCACCCTGCTGACCTGGTCCGCCGCCCTCATCCGGCCGCAGGTGCAGGACCTCTTTGAAGCCCCAGGCAATGACCGGCTAAAGCTGCTGGTGCTGTACAGCGGAGAGGAAGACGAGCTGCTTCGGAGGGCGGCTGCCGGGGGCCTGGCCATGCTCACCTCCCTGCGGCCCTCGCTCTGCAGCCGCATCCCCCAAGTGGTCAGTGCCTCTCTGGGGAGGTGGGGGCGGGACTTCCTGCACCGTGGCAGTTGTGGGGGGCGGGGGCAGGTCCTAGGCTGGGGCAGGGGGCGGTCCCTGCCGTGGTTGAGCCCGGAGCCCGTCGCCCGCTTGGCGGTCACGCCTGCCCTCTTTCCCGCAGACCACACACTGGCTGGAGATCCTGCAGGCCCTGCTGCTGAGCAGCAGTCAGGAGCTGCAGCACCGGGGCGCCGTGGTGGTGTTGAACATGGTGGACGCCTCGAGGGAGGTGGCCAGCACTCTGATCGAGAGTGAGGTGCTGGAGATCCTGCTGGTGCTGGCCAAGGGCGAGGAGGGCCCGGTGACGAGGGCCGCGGCAGCCTGCCTGGGGAAAGCAGTGGAGTACGGGCTCATCCAGCCCAGCCGGGGTGGGGAGTGAGCCTGCCCGCGCCCAGCGCGCTCACGCACGCTACCTGTTGCAGCACAGGGAGCAAGGACTGAAGCGGCGTTGGCTGGCGAGGCCCTGGGCTGCAGGCGCTCCTGCCCCTCCTCCCCGTTCACGTCCTCTGCTCTGCATCAGAGCCACATTTGTCACCCAGCTCTGCTCTGCCCGCACTGCCTCCACCTCACTCAGGGGCCCTCTGAACTACTGTAGACAGCCGGGGTGGGCACGGCGCACCCCGGCTCAGCCCTGACTGCTGGGGCGAAGGCAGCCTCACTAGCTGTGAGCGTCACCTTGGCCAGCCAGCAAGCCTGCCCAGCCCTCTAATAAACGTGTGTGGAACTCAGGTGTGTGCCCCATTCCTGAGCAGGGAGGGCGCTGTGGGTGGGGGTCCCAGGCTGAACCCTGGGTGAGTGTAGCAGCAGGGCCACCTCTGTGGAAGGGATACAAGGGATTCTCCACCCCAGGGCCCACTGAGTGGTGTTTTTTAAAAAAACATTGGGCCAGCATTGTGGCGTAGCCGGTAAAGCCACTGGCTGTGACATGGGCATCCTATATGAGTGCCGGTTCAAATTCCCGCTGCTCCACTTCGGATCCAGCTCCCTGTGCCTGGGAAAGCAACATAAGAGTGTTCGGCCCTTGTCATCCATGTGGGAGACTTGGAAGTGGCTCCTGGCTTCGGCCTGGCCAGGCCCTAGGCGTTGTGGCCATGTGGGGAGTGAACCAGGGGCTGGAAGCTCGCTCTCTAACTGTGCCTTTTCAAATAGATAAATCTTAAAAAAAAATAAGTTTTTTTTGAGTGAGGCAGACATAGCTCCCATCCACTGGTTCACTCCCGCCGTGCCCCGCACAGCCTGGCAGGTGTCAGGAGCCAGAAGCGATCCCGGTCTCCCGTGGGAGTGACAGAATCCAGACCCTGTTCCGGCAGCAACCTGAGCCGGGGCTCCGACCTAGGCTTGGCCCCTTAGTCCTATTGAGGGTCAAGGGATAAGGCTGGGTGCAGACTTTCAAACGCTGGCCTTCCGTACGTCTCATCCTTAGAGTGTGAATTTTGTGTGACCTATACGGTGGGTTCGGCACTGGCGTGTGCCCGGGAAGATCCGGCCCCGCCCACAGCGCGCCCTGGTTGGAGGAAAGGCCTGGGCGGGCCATCCGGGAGTCTGTTTCCGCTCTGAGGGCTAAGCCAGGTTTGCAGCTCATTGGTTCAGCAGAGGTAATTGAGAGGCTCTGAGCCAATCAGTGGGCGAGGAGCGCCCCGAGGCGCCTGCCAGTAGGGCTGTCGGTCTGGGGCTGAGAGGAGGGGTCGTCATGGAGCCGTCATGGGTACTCCTTAAGTGCTTCGGAGCTCCACTGCGAGCTCGGCGGACGCCTCCGGGGGCAGGGCCACGTCTGCTGCGGGGATCGCTGCCCTTCGCGGAGCGGCCTGCAGCGGTCCGCCCGCGGCCGAGGGCCGGTTCCCTCCAGCGCGGGCCGTGGGCGCGGCTGCCGTGAGGCGAGCGCCCCGCGAGGGGGCGTCACCGCGCCCGCCAGCGATTGGCCGGGGCAGGCTGCCGCCGCCAATGGCCGGCTCTCCCGGCGCGCGGCTCTTGAATCTGTTTCCCCTGGCGCCGGCCCCTGCCCGGCTGTCTCTTCCAGAAAGCCTTGCCTGAGGCGGCGGAGGGTGCGGGGCCAAGGTGGAGGTCAGCGGCCCGCGTGCGTGGGGAGTGGACACGGAAGGGGTCGGGGCCGCCGGCAGCTGTGGGCGCCAGGAATGGCCGCGACGTTCGTAGCGAGCCGGCCAGGCCGGAGCAGCGGCGCCAGCCCGAGTGCGTGCTCGCGGCGCGGCCGTGTGGGTCGGCGACAGTCACGGCCCTGCCCGGCGGGGAGCACGGAGCGGGGGGGGGCGTCTCCAGCCCCCGGGATCACGGGCGGGGACAGGGCAGGTGCCCCGGGGCGGCAGGCGGCCGTCGTGGGAAAGCCGCGAGCGCTCCCGCCCGGGCCATGCGCCCCAAGCCTCGGCGGGGTGAGCAGGTCGGGTCTCCCCCCATTTCGCAGATCCCCCGGAAGGCCGGAGACTGCGTGTCCCGCCAGGGCCCCGCCGCGGGGCAGCCAGCACAGGGCGCTGCCGGACATGGCCGAGGAGCGGCCAGGGGCCTGGTTCGGCTTCGGTTTCTGCGGCTTCGGACAGGCGCTGGGCTGCGGGCGCGGGCGCCAGGTGCACAGCCCGGAGCCGCTGCGGGCGGGCGCCGACGTCTGCTGCGTGAGCGCCGCCTGGAGCTACACGGCCGTCGTGACCCGTGAGCGCCCCGCGGCGTCCCCAGAACGCCCCTCACCCTCTCCCCGGCCCCAGGTGCTCGGCCCCTAATCCCGCCCGCTCTCCGCCCCGCAGGTGGAGGCCGCGTGGAGCTGTCGGGCTCCGTGAGCGGCGCGGCGGGCGGCTGCAGGGCTGCGTGGGCCACAGAGGGGCTCGTCGCGGTGCTGTGCGGCGGGCCGGGACCCGAAGCCGAGCTGCAGGCCTGGGCGCCCGAGTCGGCGCTGCGCGGGGAGCCCCTCTGGGCCCGGAAGGTGCCGCCGGAGCCCGAGGGAGAAGATGGGACGCGCGGCGAGGCCCGGGCTGGACCGCTGCCCCTGCTGCCCTGCGCCCGCGCCTACGTGAGCCCGCGGCCGCCGCTTTATAGACCTCTGGCCCCGGAGCTGCGGGCGCGCAGGCTGGAGCTGGGCGCGGAGCACGTCTTACTGCTGGGTGCCGAGGGCCAGGTGTTCTCCTGGGGCGGAGGCAGGTGAGTGGGGCGTGGCCAGGCGGAGGCCGGAGTGGGATTGTGGTGGAGGGAGTCCCTTGTGTTTCTGCGGCTGACAGGAGTCCCTCTCCCTGGCTCAGGCACGGACAGCTGGGCCACGGGACTCTGGAGGCCGAGCCGGAGCCACGGCCGCTGGAGGCGCTTGCAGGGCCTGCGGATGGCCGAGGTGGCCGCGGGGGGCTGGCACTCCGTGTGTGTGAGTGGTGAGTGACCTAGAGCCTCTCCAACGAGCCGGGGTCTTGTCTAAACCTTCCTCCTCCTCTTCCAGTTTGGTGGCTGGTCTGGCCAAGCCTTCTTCCAAACGAGCATCCGCTTCATTTATGACCTCTATAAATGCCTCCCCAGTCCAGCCCCTCTGCCTGTGCCTCCCCCGGCACCCGCTCCCACCTGCTCTACCTGCACCCCCCCCTCAGTCTGCCACCAGCCAGAGCCGGCTCAGTCAAGCACAGGTACTCCCTCCGCGGAGCAGGGAGAAGTGGGGCCAGAACGAAGAGGTCCACTTTGGCTAGGTGGAGTCCCCCCGCCCCCACCCCGGCAGGTGGTCCCGGCACAGATATGTCCCAGGTTCTTGGAGCCCATGGTCTTTGTCCAGGCCCAGGACTTCGGACTTAGGTCACCTGTAGCTTTAATGAGGCCCGGTGCCTTCCCCGCCCCCTTATTCTCTAAGTGTGGGCCTAGGTTGGCAGCCAGACTCTGGGACCCCTGGACTGGAGGAGGGAGAGCAGAGAGTTGCAAACAGAAGGAATTTGAGGCCTCAAGTGTGGTGTAGAGACTGAAACATAAATGCATCAAACTAGACTTTCCTCGCTCCAGATCCTCACCCTGTGCCCACCAGATCCTCACCCTGTACCCATGACCTTGGGCCTTGCCTTGGGAGGGGCAGGGGAGCTCCGGTGGATGGAGCGGGGTCCACAGCTCCGTGGGTCCCCTTGATGTCTTTCAGAGGCTGGGGATATCTATGTGTGGGGCTGGAATGAATCAGGGCAGCTGGCCCTGCCCGCCCGGAGCCTGGCAGAGGACAGAAAGGCCGTCGTGGGGAAAGGTGAGGCCACCTCGCTTCGGGGCCTGAGAGCGCTGAGCGGGAGTGGTGAGGGCTGGCGCTGTGGCGCCGCGGGCTAAGCCGCCACCTGTGGCTCCCGCCTCCCGTGTGAGTGCCAGTCCCAGCTGCTCCGCTTCTGATCCAGCTCCCTGCTGTGGCCTGGGAAGGCAGTGGAAGACGGCCCGCGTCCTTGGGCCCCTGCACCCACGTGGGAGACTCAGCTGGAGTTTCTGACTCTCAGCTTCCCCCTGTCTCAGCCCTGGCTTTTGGGACCATTTTGGGGTGATGAACCTGTGGATAGAAGAGCTAACGGTCGTGGTTACAATCCTTGCACAGCCACCAGCCCGCAGGAAGATGGCTGCGAAGCGGGGAGAGCAGCCGCGGGTGAGGACGGAGCCCCCGCGGCCTTCATAGCCGTGCAGCCCTTCCCAGCCTTGTTGGATCTCCCACTGGGGGCAGAGGCGGTCAAGGCCAGCTGTGGGTCCCGGCACACGGCCGTGGTGACACGTGAGTGGGCGGGGCGGGGTGGGACCCCTTCGGGAGCGGCCGCCCCGGTGGCCTGTCCTGTTGGCACAGGGAAGACCCTGCAGCAGGCTAAACTTCCTACAGAAAGGAGGTTTGTTTCAGCTCCTGGTTCTGAAGTGCAAGGTCATGGCCTCCTTGTGGCAGAGGTCTGAGTGGCGCAGACAGCACACGTGTCTGTGTCTCCCTCTGCTCCACCCTGAGCCCCGTACTTGGGTGAAGTTGCCATCCCTGCTCGCCTCACAGAGGGAATCACATTTGCACACAGGAAGCCTCGCGAGACACTGAGAACCATCCAAAGCGAGCCCTGCCTCCCTCAGCAGCTGAGCCCCCGGTTCCCCCAGGAGCTCCCGGAATCCCAGGCCCGGAAGGTCCTTCGGGAAGGAGACTTATGTTCTCCAGCCTTTGCATGCCCCGTCCAGCCCCTGAGAATCCCCCCCCCCCACCAACTCAGCCAGCGTGAGACAGGCCAAGCCGTCGGCGCAGGGGAAGGCATGAGCTTGTTGTCTGTTGTCAGAGATGTGCTGACCGCCCATGCGGCTGTGGCGTGTCCCAGGCCAGGCGAGACGAGCGCCCTGTCACCGACCATCGTGACAGCCGCTTCTGTCCCTTTGTTGCAGGAACAGGCGAGCTCTACACCTGGGGCTGGGGTAAGTGACAGGTTGGTTTCTGGGAGAGGGAAGAGCTGGGAGGGCCGCACAGGTGACACGGCCAGGCAGACGGGGCAGCAGGGGTCAGCTGCTTGGGAGGATGGGGCCTGAAGAGCCAGGGGCGCCCTCCCTGGGCTTGGACAGATCCAGGCACACCCAGAAGGTCGGGGATGGGGCAGGAGAGGACGGAGGCAGTGCGATGGCGCCTACCCGCCTGTGGTCCTGCAAGGCCAGCATTCAGCAAGTGTGCTGCTGTCCTGGCCCCAGGCCGAGGAGTGAAGAGGAGCACCCTGGCTCGGTGGCAGGGGAGCCCGGGGGAGCCTCCTCCCTGAGGCTTTGGGGCCCTGGGCTGCCCTGGAGTCGCAGCGCAGGCACCGGCGGGGTCGGGGGCATCGCCAGGAGGGAAGCAGCAGGGCCCAGCGCCTCGTTTCTCTTCAGGGAAATACGGACAGCTGGGCCACACGGACGCCGCCAGCGTGGATCGGCCCTGCCGTGTGGAGTATTTTGTAAATGAACAACTCCAAGTAAAGGCTGTCACCTGTGGGCCCTGGAACACCTACGTGTACGCTGAGGCGAGAGGGACGAGCTGATACACCTGTGTGTGTGTGTGTGTGTGTGTGTGTATACACAGTTATATAGAAAAATGTGTAAGACAAACGTATTGTATATTTAGAGATTAAAAACCTGTGGAACTCCCATCTGGATGAAGGCAGTTCATTGGTAGCACCCAGAGGTCCTGCCTTGGCCCCTTCCCATGAGAGCCCTCCCCTTAGAGGCGGGGCCTTCGCTTGTCTGCACTTGAAAACCTGTCAAGTGCTGCCCAGGGCCAGCGTTGATCGTTTTGGGCCGTACGGGATTCCTCTGTGCGAGTGGAGCCCAGGCTGTGAGTTCCTTTGTTGACGGTCACGTGTGTGGTCTCTGGTTTCTGGCTGTGGCGGTGCCGCGTGGGCACCTGTGCCTGGCACGTGTGCACGGCTTCTGATGCAGAACGCCGAGGGTGGAACTCGGAGGTCCCAAGGCACCTCTCACCACAGGACAGCTGTATACACCCACAAGTAGTGTGGGCTTTGCTGTGACCCACACATCACGTGGATGAGCACCGGGTGTATTTACTTCCTTAAATCTCGATTTATTTTATGGATGTGAAGAGATCGCTCACCCACCGGCTCACCCCCAACAACCGCACGACAGCTCGGGTGAGCCAGACCAAAGCCAGGAGCCAGCAACCTGATCAATGGAGCCCTCACCCACTGCGTCCCGGGATGCACAGTAGCGGGACGGAGCCAGGACTCAAAGCCAGATGCTCCAGTAAGGGGTGTGGGTGTGGGTGTGGGTGTGCAGCAGAGTCGGTGTCCAGCGGCGGGCGCGGAACCGTGGCGCTCTGACGTGGAACGTGAGCGTCTCGGCCAGCAGCGTCGTAACCACTCGGCTGGACGCTCACCGGCCCTCTCGTTCCGACTGTTCTGCCCGCTTGTGTCGGTTGCTAGGAGAGGAAAGCTGTGTCCGGCTGCACCCGTGGATCCCTCCGTTTCTGCTCCGTTGTACCGGTGCTGCTTTGCGTGTCTGGAGGCTGTCCTGAGGTGCGTACCCGGACGGGAGGGGGGTGTTGCTGAAATGGTGGAGCAGGGAAGCCAAGGCACCGTCTCCACAGAAGCAACTCACTAGCTGGCAAAACCCACCGGAAGCAGCCTGTAGAGTCTAAAGCGAGTTCCAGGCTGACAGCCGGGCCGGCGCTGTGGCACGGCCCGCAGAACCGCTTCCTGCAACACCAGCATCCCACGTGGGAGCGGGCTCGAGACCCGGCTGCTCCTCTTCCCATCCCGCTCCCTGCCAATGCACCTGGGAAAGCAGCGGAAGATGGCCCGCGTGCTTGGGCCCCGGCATCCACGTGGGAGACCCAGAAGCTCCTGGCTCCTGATCAGCCCAGCTCTGGCCATTGTGTCCATTTCGGGAGTGCGCCAGTGGATGGAAGACCTCTCTCTGTCCCTCCCTCTGTAACTCTGCCTTTCAAATAAATAGGACAAGACTGACGAGCACCAGGGAGGCTGGCGTGAAGCGGTTGCTTCTCTGTGGCCCCAGCGCCGCGGCCTTTGCAGTCCCGCACCCTGGCGGCGGGGCCGGAGAACCACAGCTTGCACGCGGGGGGCACCAGCAGGCGCCAGAGGGCACGGCACGGGGCTTTGGGAGAGCAGTGGCGGGCGGGCGTGCCGCCCTCCCGAGGAAGGCGTCGCCAGGCATCTGAAGGCCCAGTCGCCGCGGACTCAGCAGCGTCTGCAGTGAGCGAGATTCTGCCCGAGCCTGGAGCGGAGGCAGCCTAGGATCAGGACGGCGTGTGGTGCCAGGACAGCGACTGGGACGAGAGCGCCCACTGTGAACAACAGGACGCCCGACTGCTGCTTCCTCTGTCCGGGATTCCCTGTGCGCGAGGGGCACGCGGTCCCTCTCACTGGCCACTTTCCTCGCAGAGGCCAGGCTGCTGACCAGCTCCTTCGCCCCCTCCCTGCGCGCCTGCACAGCCCCGCCCTTCTCGTGAGAACTGGACGCCTATGCTAAAAGGATGGACTTAACGCTCTACCTGGTACATGCAGACATGGATCATACATGGAAACGTGAACGTAGAACTTTAAACCTCCAGGAAAAAACCGTCATGCTCTTGGGTTAGGGAAAGGTTTTGTAGCTAAAACAAAAGCACAATCCAAAGAACAAGTGAACCTCATCAAAATTAAACCCCGCCCTCCAAAACAGGAAGCCAGACTCTGGGCTGACAGCTCTGCAAGGCGTGTATCTGATAAAGGGCTGGTTCCAGGCCACCCAGAGGGCTCTCGACGCAACAGCGACATTAAAAGGGGGGAGGCTCTGGCACAGTGGCTGAGATGCCGTTGGAGACACCTACGCCCCACACCAGAGTCTGCGTTTGGGGTCCGGCTCTGTTCCTGATTGCAGCTTCCCAGTGATGCAGGCCCAGGTGAGCAGGGGTCCCCAACTGCTGGCTCGGGCTGCTGTGGGCATTTAGGGAGTGAGCTGGTGGAGACGGGAGCTTGCCCTGCCTCTCAGATCAGAAACACCCAACAGTAAGAGCACAGATGACTCCATTTTTTAAATGGGCGGAGGTGGTGATGAGGCAGGGCACCAGAGCTGAGCTGGCCGACGGGACGTGGAAGGGCATCGCCATTCACTGAAGACATGCACACTCAGCCGCGGGACGCCATTCACCGAAGACAGGCACACTCAGCCGCGGGACGCCACTTCCTCCCGCCGAACGGCTAGAGTTAGACTGGCACACAGACCTGGGGAAGCGTGGGACTGGGGACAGCCCCCGTTCCTGGTGGGAATGTTAAAATGCTAAAACAACCCTGGAAAAGTTAGGCAGTTCTTAAAAAGCGAAATACACACCAGCCATAGATACAACCCAGCCATGCCACTCAGGCGTTTACCCAAAAGGAAAGTCCGCATCCACGCGAAGGCTGGGATGTGACCGGTTCCTGCAGCTTCACTGTTCTTCCCGCTGAATCCTGGGAGAACCCACTGTGAACCAGCCTTCAGGCAGGAAACCCTCCCCGTGAACAGCCACGCGGCGATACACGGACGACCGTGGGTGCAACAGCTCATCCCTGTTAAGTCTGCTTACATCCGACCTGAACATACAAACCCCTCTACAGCGACGGAGCTCAGTGGCTGCAAATGGGGGCGAGAGGAGGGAGACCCGGAGGGGGCGACGGCTCTGCTCGGTCCCTGCCCTGTGCTGCTGGCTCCCCTGCTGGGGGTCCACACTGGGCAGCGTGGACGCCTGGAACACGCAGCTTCCGGCCGTGTTACCTCGAGTGACGGACGGCAGGGCCGGGGACGGCTCCGTTTACGTCGGGAGATAGGACTTTTAGCAAATGAGGTCTTTAGAGAAATGAGATGCACTTAAGGTTTAGACATGCACAAGTAGTACAGAAATCATGATGTCCTGTTAGTCTGCTCTGTTTTCCTCAGGCCAAACCCACCAACAATTGATGTGGGAAAAGTGAAAACAAGCACTGCGGTAACTTTTCAAAGAAAAAGAGATTTATTTGACAAGAGAACTCCCAATCTGTGTTCTTTCCCCAAATGCCCACAATAGCTGGGCTGGGCTGAAGTCAGGAACAAACTCCACGTCTCCCCCGTGGGTGGCAGGAACCCGAATCACTTGAGCCGTCACCAGGGGCTCCCGGGGTCCACGTTAGCAGGTGCTGGCGGGGCCGGGCCCTGGCTGCTCCCGGGTGGGACACCGGCGTCTTTAAGACCGGCTTCTTAACCAGACACCTGCCCTGACGCAGCTTTAGAGTGCACACTTCCAGGATAATAAAAACAGGACATACGTACACGTGACTAAACAGCAAAGCCGACACAGGTGAGCTTTTGAGAACCATTTACTGTGCTGACAGCAGTACGGTGCAGGCGGAGAGGAATAAATAATAGTGCTTTGGGAAGAACAGTAGTGATGGACACGGGAGGCAGGAGGAGCCTCGGCGCGGACGGCCCAGAGCAGGAATGACTCCCAGTAGTGACGTGTGCAAAACCCCAGAGCCTCCCACCGGGCCGGCAGCACAGGGGACAGGACTGAGCCACAGTGGGCACAGGGATGGGCGACTGGACCAGAGAAAACCTCTGAGGAGCCAGAGTCCACACAAACCTGTGTTGTCAGACACACACATGCACGCACACACACACCCGCAAAGGGCATTGCACCATGAACCAGAGCCGCACGCAGCTCGACCAAGGAGCCGCCGCCCCGCCTCCTGTCCCGCGGGTCGCTGGCAGCTGCGGACAGGCCACCGTGGGAACAGCTGCAGCATGACCCAGCACCCCGAGCTAAGGGTGCTCCTACTAGGAAGTCACTTCCTGTCCACCCTCCACGGCTGGACAGAGTTAGCACGTGAAATAAAACAAGCCGTGGCCATGCTTAAGCGAGTGGAATTATGGGGCAGAGCGGCCAGGTCCCCGTGACATTATCTGCGCTTACTGCTAGAAACAGCGTTTTAATGTATCTCGAATAAAAATCAAACCCAGCCTCTAAGGACCACACTAAGCCTACGCTGGACTTTGGCTGGGCACGCTACCCATGTCTGTGAGGTGGGCCCAGGGACGTCCAGGGTTCAAGCATGCCTACGCTGAAGAAAATCAAAGCCCCCGTCTAATTGGGTTCCGTTTCGGCACAGGAAGCCACAGCCCGGCTCGCCGGCAGCCTCACGACTGGATGTTGGTGGAGTTGAGGATTCGAGACGTGGCATCAGACATGGAAGCCTTTGAAAGTTCTCGCTGTGGGAAGACAAACACCGTTAGTGGCAGCACCGCCCTGTCCTGCTGCCCCTCCCCCTAAGCAGAGGTCCCCCAAGGACAGTGCCTGGGAGGCCGGGCTCCCCTCTGCCCGTCACAGGCCCAGCGCGGGAACGCGCACGCACGCCCGTGCCCGCGGCCGGCCCACGGTTACGCCTCACTGAAGAGAAAGCCCTGGTGCGTCCCGGAGCTGTTCCTGCAGCCGGCGAGCCCCGCGGGCCAGCAGCTGTGGGCCTCAAGGCCTTTCTGAAACAGTGGGCCGGACCACGCTTCTACCAAACCCTGGGCTGAGGCCTGTCGCCTGCCAGTGATTGAGCTCACGCCGGAGCCCGCGGTGGAGTCGGAGGCTGGGACAGGAGTGTTAGTGGAGGCGCGTGTCCTGCCTTTGGCACGGCCC